AGCACAGTTTGGAATCGTCATGGTCTCCAACTGAGCACAAAGCTGAAGATGTACAAGGCCGTCATCCCGCCGACGCTACTGTACGGAGCGGAGACCTGGACGGTGTACACGAGGCAGGCACGTCGACTAAACCACTTCCACCCCAGCTGTCTCCGCCGCATCCTGAGGCTGAACTGGCAGGACCGCATCCCCGACACCGAAGTGCTGAAACGGACGGGAATTCTGAGCATCTACTCCATGTTGAGACAAATGCAGCTGCGCTGGAGCGGCCACCTGGTGCGCATGGACGACGTGCGACTACCCAAACGACTCTTCTACGGAGACGTCGCGACGGGTTCTCGTCGTCAAGGAGGCCAAATTCGCCGTTACAAAGATACTCTGAAGTCCTCCCTGAAGCGCCTGCACATCAACCCGACCAACTGGGAAGAGCTCGCCCGCGATCGTCCGACATGGAGGAGAACAGTGAAGACGGACGCTGCTATCTACGAAGCCAACCGCATCGCCGCCGCCAAAGTGAAACGCGAAGTCCGCAATTCACAACTTCGCCCAATACGCAACGCCGCCGCACAACCTCTCCCTACGTGTCCTCGATGTCAACGGACATTCCGGGCACGAATCGGACTTGTTGGACATCTTCGAACCAACTGCACCTCTCGAACTGCTCCAGCCATCGTCCACGCGCCCGCCTCTTCCTCGTCCTCTCTTCCGCCAACTAACTCTGACACTCCTTCTGCACCACCACTTCCATCCTCCTCCTTCTCCTCCACTGCCCCAGCGGTGGCCGTTCAGGCTGCCGTCTCACACATCGCCAACCACGACACAGCAACCGCAACCACCCCCACCTGCCCTCACTGCGACCGCACCTTCACCTCGCACAACGGCCTGGTCGGTCACTTGCGAATCCATCGCACAGAGACTGGTGAACCAGTGCCTGGAGCACCAACCTACACCCATCGCACTCGCCTCCACTGCCCACAATGCTCTCGCACCTTCCGGCGTCGCATGGGCCTATCCGGCCACATGCGTATCCACGACAGCGGAATTGACCGCAGCCTTGACACACCCACCCCGCCAAGCCCCACTCCCAATCCATCACCCTGTGCACCCACTAACCACTCCCCAGCCGACATCGACGCCACCGACCTTACCACCCCTCACTCCCCCCTTCCTCCTCCACCTCCTCCTTCACTGCCACAACGACGGCCACTCCGGCGTCTGTAGCGCACGACTTCACCACAGCCGCACCTGACACAACAACAGGCACAACCCCTGCAACCTCCATCAACAGATGTGAGGGCCCGGACTACATCTGCCCTCACTGCGATCGCACCTTCACTTCACGCATCGGCCTGGTCGGTCACTTGCGAATCCATCGCACAGAGTCTGGCGAACCAGTGCCTGAAGCACCAACCTACACTCACCGCACTCGCCTCCACTGTCTACACTGCCCTCGCACCTTCACGCATCGCATGGGTCTATTCGGCCACAGCCGCATCCACGAGAGCGGCATTGACCGCAATTCCGATACAACCACGACATCCAACACGCCCAGACCCATCCTCGCCCCACCGTCACACGCGCCGACCACCACCACTGCCACCACCAACACCACTGCTTCCTCTACAGCTGACACCGACACCGCCGACCTCTCATGCCCACATTGTCCACGCACCTTCACCTCACGCATCGGCCTGGTCGGTCACTTGCGAATCCATCGCACAGAGACTGGCGAACCAGTGCCTGGAGCACCAACCTACACCCACCGCACTCGCCTCCATTGCCCACACTGCCCTCGCACCTTCACGCATCGCATGGGTCTATTCGGCCACATGCGCATCCACAACGACCTGCGGTAGACAACCGCCGGTCACACCACACATTCCCTCACTCCCTACCTCCTAACATCATCACCCCACTAGACGTCAATCCTCACACACCTCATGCACTCAACTGCCGCCTCCCACGCAAGTGGGAAGTGTGCATCTCAACTCGGTCCCCATGCGGCCTCGGCTGCACGAGTGACTTGAGTCCGAGACTATCCCGACACGTCAAGTGTCGTGGATAGGAAGGTTGCTGATTGACGCCCGCTCTCGGTTCACGCAGTTCGTCACGTTGTGTGTGTGTGTGTTGTGTAGTGGAGGACTGGTGGGCTGGGAACGGGCTGAAGCAGCACCTTCCACGGCACTCTCACGCATGTGAGAGACACGCCGTTCTACCCCCGTTGTGTGAAATCCTGGTGTTTGTGTGTATGGGGGGCCAGGTCGTGCTGTGGCGCGCGCAGGCACGGTCAGTCGACCATGTCAGCCACCGCGCCCATTCCCC